GAGAGAGAGAGAGAGAGAGAGAGAGAGAGAGAGAGAGAGAGAGAGAGAGAGAAAGAGAGAGAGACAGACAGACAGACAGAGGTGTTACCAATTTCAGGGAGTGAGATAAGAGAATTAGTGCTGCATGCTGTCATTTTCTACTTCTGAGTACAGAACAACTGTCCCAAAACAACCGTCCATTTTGTGGTGCAGAAAAATGTCCATCTCATGTTCTGTGTCGTCCTCTTTGGTGGTGTCAGTGGGATGGAGGAGAAAGGCCAGGGGGCAGAGTGCTCGTTGGTACAGCTGATTGTTTTATACAGGTGGTCGTTTGTACAGGTGATAGTCTTATACTGGTGGTCGTTGGTACAGGTGATTGTTTTATACAGGTGATCGTTTGTATAGATGACCGATTGTACAGGTTATTGTTTTATACAGGTGATCGTTTGTACAGGCGAGTGTCTGTTTGCTTTTTGTTACAGTAGAGGTTTTACGGCGCTCGCAATTGCATAAGGTCATATGAGCGCAAAGGGTGATTGTCTTATACAGGTGACCGTTTGTACAGGTGATTGTCTTATACAGGTGGCAGTTTGTACAGGTGATTGTCCTAAACAGGTGGTCGTTTGTACAGGTGATTGTCTTATACAGATGGTCGTTTGTACAAGTGATTGTCTTATACAGATGGTCGTTTGTACAGGTGACTGTCTTATACAGGTAGTCGTTTTGTACAGGTGATTGTTTTATACAGATGGTCGTTTGTACAGGTGGTTGTCTTATACAGGTGACCGTTTGTACAGGTGAATGTCTTATACAGGTGGTCGTTTTTACAGGTGATTGTCTTATACAGGTGGTTGTAGGAGCAGGTTGGATCTACGTGACACCAAGAGTTGCTGTGTTGTCGCCTTGTGTTATCTTTGTTTACAGTTGACATATCCCACTACTGACGGCAAGGAAAATGAAAAAAAAAGAAAGCTAACTGAACGTTCTTAACTTGCTTCTTCTTTCCTATCAATCGTCTATCGTCTTTATCTCCCTTCTTTCTCTGTTGTGTTTGCTATTCTCTTGTAACACCTCTAATCTTCGGCACATATATGACCTTATTGTGTTGCAAGTGCCGTAAAACTCTTACTGAAACTTTTTAAAAACCAGACCAACGTTCTTATGTCCATGTTGGGTCTATCTTTTCTTAGGACATTTCTCCGTCTGTTATCACTCTCTCTA